TCATACAGCTCTGACACTAAATATCTTATCTTTTAAATATATAAAAATAGGAAATTTCAATTATGTAATAGTGCTATGACCCAGTGAATTGTTTAGGGTTCAAGCCTCAGGTGCCACTCCTAAGGATACAGGGAACAGAGATTGGATTCTTCCACTCTGTTCATCCTAGAGTGGGGTTGTCTTTAGAATATTTTAACCAACGTTGCAGGGAAAGGGCCAGGAGAGCAGTTTCCAGGCTCTCAGCCCTGCTTACAAGGTCACTGGTTTGTTCCCATGCTCACTTAGACCACCTGGATGCCCCCCATTATGTAACCAGCTGGCTGTAAACCACCTTTGTTCTGCATGCTATTTAACTGTTGGGGCTGCCCCAGCGGACATTGCAGATGCTGTTCCTGTGTCTCAACCGGAAGCTCTCAAGAATATACCTGTGGTATGAAACCCTTACCTTCGGCTCTGTTGTCTTTTTTCAGCCTCACCGAATTCAAGAACCTGCCAGGAGTTGAGCTCCTGTGTTACAAATTCTCAGATGTTCTTTAAAAAAATAAAATAACAGCATTATTCAGATATAATTCACACACCATAAAATTAACCCTTTTAAAGTGTACAATTCATAAAGGATATCAGTCTGTACATATATTTTGTGATGTCCTTGGTTTTGGTACTGGGATGATATTGGCCTCATAAAATGAATTGGGAAGTGCTCCTTACTCCTTTGTTTTTAAAAAGAGTATTAATAAGTTTGGATTATTTTTATTTTATTAAAATATTTGATAGGATTCACCAGTGAAAACATTAGGACCTGGGCTTTTCTTTGTGGAAGATTTGTATTTACTTATTCAAATTTTTTACCCCAATATATGTCTATTCAGGTTTTCTATTTTTTTCTTGAGTTAGTTTTAGTGATTTGTTCTCTCTAGGAATGCCTCCATTTTCATCTATTTTTAAAATTATTGGAATTGTGATGTTCATAAATTTTTCATTTCTATAAGGTCTATAGTGTCTCTTTTTACTTCTCATTTTGGAAATTTGCATCTTTTCTTTTTCTTAGTCAGTCTAGCTAAAGGTTTATCAATTTTATCTTTAAAAACCAGCTTTTAGGTCCTTTTCTCTATCTTCTTGTTTTTAACTCATTGATTTTTATTCTCATCTTCACTATTTCATTACTTCATCTTAATTTAGGTTTGATTCACTCCTCTTTAACTACCTTCTTGAGGTGGAAACTTATTGTCCCCCTTCTAATATAAGCATTTGATACTATTAATTTCCCTTTGAGTATAGCTTTAGCTGCTTCCCTTAAATTTGATATGTTGTATTGTTACTGTGCCAAGGTCCAGCTGCCTGCCACTTGAAAAAGTTAAAAATTGAGAGACAAGGTTGGTGGAAAGAAAAGCAGGTTTATTCAGAATGCCAGCATTCTGGGAGGATGGCGGACTCCTTTCCAAACTACATCTCCCTGTTCCTAGAATGGTCAGAAAGTTTCATAGGTACACAAGAAGCAGCAGAACAAATGAAAGGGTGGGGGGTGAGTCATATGACTCTTCTGGGAGAACATCTCCTGGGGTCCGGTTTGTTTTGCGATGGTTATCTCGAACCTGGTCTCATGGGTGATTCATATGTCATCTGACAGAGAATCACGGTCAAGATTTGTAGCCTGGTTGTCAGTATCTGGAAGGCTGAGGGTTGACTCAGTTTCTTGCAAGTTAGTGTTCTGTTGATTAGCTAGATTAACAAGGTATGCATGTAGCCTTGGGAAAGCAGAGTAATTAAATCAGGCAGTGAAGGAGACAAACAAAGAGAAAACAGCTGAATATCAGAGTGGATCAAATTGCAAACTACAGTAGCTAAGTCTATGTTGTTGATTTTCCAAGTTTCACCCTTACAGTGTTTTTGTTTTCATTCGGTTTCAAATATTTTCTAATTTTCCTTGCACTTTCTTCTTTGGCTCATGGGTTATTTAGAAATGTGTTATTTAATTTCCAAATACTTGGGGAATTTCTCAGATTTCTTTCTGTTGTTGATTTACAATTTATTGCCATTGTGGAAGAAAAACATACTTTGAATGATTTCAATCCTTTTAAAATTTATAGACTTGTTTTGTAGCCTACTTTATGATCTATCCTGGACAAGGTTTCATTTGTGCTTGAAAACAGTGTGCATTCTGCTGTTGTTAGATGGAGTTTTCTACATATGTCCAATACTTCAAGTTGGTTGATAGTTTTTATATATCCCTGGTGATTTTCTGTCTTGTTCTATCACTTACTGAGAGAGGAATTTGAAACCACCACCCATAACTGAATTGTCAATTTCTCCTTTCAGTTCTCATGATTTTTGTTTTATATGAGTTAGAACTTCTTTCCTTTTAAAGGCTAAATAATATTCCATTCTATGAGTATACCACATTTTATGTACCCATTCATCCATCAGTGACGCTAGGGTTGCCCCTACCTGTTGGCTATTGCAAATAATGCTACTACAAATATCTCTTTGGATCTCAGATTTCAATTATTTTGGGTACATACTTAGAAGTGGAATTGTTGGATCAAATGGTAATACTATATTTAATATTTTGAGGAAAAACCATACTATTTTCCAAAGCAGACACACCGTTTTATACTTCCTCCAGCTGGCAAATCTATGGGTTTTTTATCTCCTACCACAAACCTAGTCCATCTCCTCTGGCAGTTTTCTTGGCTAGCCCTACCCACTGGTAAAACTACAGTTCAAGACAACAGGGCAGGATAAAAGCAGCTTTAGGCAGAAGGTCATAGACATCTATTGTTCCTACTGGAATTTCTAGAAGTTTTTCAAGAACAGATGTTTCTCAAATTGTTGTCTATGTTTAATAGTCTGGTGCCCTGAAATAGTTGTTCTAGACAATTTTGTCCAGTTTTATACTTGTTTTGTGTGCAGACGAATTGTTGACCATGTCACATAGCTATAGCTGAAAGTCTCTTCCAGTTTCTTTTTAAGTAGGAACTTGTATTAGTCATGACCTTTCAATATCATGTAAAAGAAATCCAATTGAATTAGTTAGAACTTTTAGAATTTTGAACCACAGAAAACCTCCAATACAGACTGGGTGAAACAATGCAGGACATTTATGACTCACAATTCTAAATAGTGTATAGGTTAGTCTATAGGTCAAACAGGTGAGGTTTGATAATGCAGCTCTAAGGATGCCACCAAACACAATGTTCCTCTTCTTTCCAGCACTCATTTGACAGTATTGACTTCATCTTTAGGCTCTACTGGTGCCTCTCCCCTAAACCCTATCCCTTTCGGGTTTCCTCTTGAAACAAAATAGTTGCCACATTTCCAGACTTCATATATTTACACCATACCAGAAGAGAAAGGATGCCACAGTTTACTAGAAGCCCCAACTCAAATCTCTGCGGAGCTCATTGGTTCTGGTTTGATTGCGCCATCATCTCTGAAACTCTCAGCCACTAGAGGGAATGGTTATGTTGCATGACTTAAATGGGAGGGACAAATGCTCAGGAGGAATCCAATAAATATGTTCTATAGCCACACAAACTAGCCATAAATAATAATAAATAAATGCATTGGCTCACCCAGCTAGGCTCATACACTCAAAGCACTTAAAGAAGAGTTATACAAAAATCATGGCCTCTGAAACTGAAACCACATGCTGCCAGCTGTTGGTTTCTCTCCCTTCCATCCCATACACTATTGGCCTCATTCCTTCCTACTTCAGACAGTCCTCCTAGTGTTGTGAAGAACATGGCCAGCTGCAGTTACCTCAGTAAAAAGCTTCTCCCCCTCCCATCTCTGTCCATATAGCAATTTCAAGCAAGGGCTCAAAAATGCCCCAACTTGGGCCAGCCAAGCGGCGCAGTTGGTTAAGAAACACAAGGTCTGAGCAACAGGGTCACCGGTTCAATTCCCACATGGGCCAGTGGCTGCACCTAAGCTGCCAACAGGCAGTAGGATGGCTCAGCTGGTGAGAGCATGTGCTCCTAACAACAAGGCTGATGATTCAACTCCCGCATGCGATGGTGGGCTACCGCCACCCCTCCCCCCAATAAGTTGCCAAATGTTATAAAACAAGAACAGTTCAAAAGACCTCTGATTTCCAGCCATGCCTTAACAGAACAATTCTTCAAGACTTTGTGCAGGATTTCCTCCAGAAACCCAATTATTTCCAGTCTTTCCCATGATTCAGTTCTATTTGCAAGCTAACCATGCTCTGGGCGGTTCTAATTCAGGCGTTCCTTTGTAAATGTTGAACCAAAGAGGGCGGTGCAAAGCAGCAGTCCTATTACACAAGAACCAAGGACTGGCCCTTGTCAGCACCCATTTTAGGAATTCTGAAGATGGTCCCAACAGAGTTTTATGTAAGTCTCTCCTTAAAGACCCACGGCACTTCCTTTTACCAACCTCCCCCCTACCCCCAGGGCAAGCGTCCCCACCCCACGCAAAAGATGCCCCACCCAGCCCAAGGCCGGGAAGATGTCCAACCCAGTCGCAGGCTGGGCCAGCTTCCTAGGCTGGTTTAACTGGGTTGGACGACTGAAGCCCGATGGCACAAAAGGTCTGAACTTCTGTAGCCGAGGAACAGGCAGGCCACAGCTTGGAAAAAGTATTTCTTTTCTCAAGACCACCGCAGACAGTGCCGCCAAACCACCTTCGCGGATATTTGCTTGGGGTAGGTGTACGTCCCACCCAGTCCCCCAAGACCAGGAATTGCGCAGGCGCCCGCAGAGCATTAGCGCGGCGCGTTCTCTCGCGCGCTCCCTTAGTCTCCTCAGAGAGCTCCTGGGCCGAAAGAGGCGCGGTTCTTCCTGGGTGTTGTAGTGTGCTTCCTCCGACGAAGTGCCCTCCTGTTGATTGGGCGCTTGGGTTTCCGAGAACTACGCCTCCCAGTGTGCCCCGCGCGAGGGCACAGGGCGTTTGCTCTTGTCGGCCTTAGCCGTCAGCGCAGAGAAAAGGACCCGGGAAGCCGGCTGCTGCGGGAGGAGGGAGTGCGCTTGCGCGCTGGGCCGGCTCGTCCTGTTCTGTCCCAATCATTGTAAACAGGCGGAGGCTAGGGCGGGGTGGAAATGGGGCGTCCAAGGCCGGCCAGGGGCGCAGCGCAGGAGGCGGCTACGGTGGCTGCGGCGGCAGCGTGAGCTCGAGGAGGCTGCGGCTGTGGCGGGGGCGGGCGGTCGCGCTGCGGCGGGCTCAGGTTAGTAGCGGGCAGCGGTGGCGTGCGGGGTCGCAGCGTTGCCAATCGCGTGTCCGGAGAGCCCTTTCTGCAGCCGCCTCACAGCCGCGTCTATACCAGGCAGTGTGCCGAGCTGGGCGCTAGCCGCACACCGGGCTGGAGTTGGGGGTGGGGGGCGTGGCTGCCCCTACTGCGGATTCTTCAGTAGGGTTCTCTTCAGTTCTCGCCCCCTTTGCTGTGCGTTCCTCAACCACTTGCCAGCCGGGCCTCCCTTATGGCAGCCGCGTTTGTGATTTGGTTCTCCTGGGGTCTGAACCCCTTCCTCCTTGGGATTCCAGGCCTCAGGGTAGCTCTTGGGCACACTGGAACGGAGGAGAGGGGACTAAGTCTTTTATATAAAGATGTTATTTTCTAGTCGCACCCAGAATATTGATCCTCCTCTTCTGTTTGCTCAGTGGACTAGGAACAGGTTTTTGATGTTTCCCACCGCTGGCATGGAAGCAGTGGGGCTCCTTTGGGTGCAGCGGTCCTTAGTTCAGGTTTCAGTGGGAATGGACGGACAATCTGGGGTTGAGAATTCCTTTCACAGCGCACTTTCAAGTATGCTTGTACCAAAATGCTGTTATTGAGGTCAGGTGTTTTTTTTTTTAATCGTTGTGTTAGTGAAACAGGTTTTGCAAAATATTTCACATCTCAGTCTTAGCTGAAGTGATTATGCTGTTTCAAGTTTGGGGATTCATTAGTCCAGAGCTTCCTTCATGAGCAAGCATCATGATTCCTGTAGGGCCTTAACAGAGTTCTAGAAGATAATTAAAGTGTTAATTCGAGATAGTTTGAATGTCCGTGTAAATGAAGTACAGTCCTTTGGACATTGAGTTAACACACCATCTAGCCTTATTAGAAAAGCTATCACTGAATTTTTTGTTTAGTGGAGTGGGCATGTTCAAATGCTGGAGTACTTTGAGTAGCATTCCATCATACTTGGCTGTTAATATTTAAAATATTTAAGTGGTGATAAGGAACAGGCCCACTTTTGGTTTGGTAGTCACAGAGGCAGCACTTTTAAATGGGACTGTGAATGAGAAAGGTAACCTCACTTTCTGTCTTTCGAGTTATTTTGGTGATTTGATTATTATTTTCTGAGTGTCTTGCTGAAGATGAGTAATTGCCATAAGCTGTATTGGCAGTAGTAGATGTAGGAAGGAAGTTAGTAGAGTGGTTCTCACTTTTCATAAGTGACCTATAGATTTAAGTAGGGTAGGCTAGTTTAGCAGTAACTGTTGAGAATTTTTTTTTTTTAAATTGGGGAATTGGGGGATGGGAACAGCGCTGGGGAATTGGGGAAGGGGAACAGACAA